ATAAAGTCAGAAAGCTGCTTGCTGGACTACCCCCTTTGCTTGAATGACTTTTTTGTGTTTTCAATACCTTTGAATAAGGGATTTTGTAAAGAAAGTGTGCAATGACGTTTGGAAACTTTTGGAAAGCTTAAAGACTAAAGAGCTTAGGTAAGTAAAGCAAATCAAAAGGAAAAGAACGGGAATGAATACAAGTTTACTTAAAGCAACATATTGTTTAAGCCTGAAATCTCTGGACATTATTCTAGGGGCCCCCCTAAATAATGTCAGAAAGCTGCTTGCTGGACTACCCCCTTTGCTTGAATGATTTGTTGTGTTTTTTTCAATACATTCGAAAGGGATTTTGTAAAGAACGTGTGCAATGACTTTTGGAAACTGTTGGAAAGCTTAAAGACTAAAGAGCTTAGGTAAGTAAAGCAAATCAAAAGGGAAAAAGTAAACTATAACAATAAAAAATATCCCACTACAACTACCCCTCCCCAAAAAAACGACATTATTCTGGGGGCCTTTATTAATCTGTGCAGGGAAAAGAGTCATTCTTCTGGGGTACTTTATTAATCCAAGGAAAGCATTAGTAGTAGTAGTAGTAGTAGTAGTGGTGGTAGTGATAGTGGTAGTGGTAGTGGTTGTAGGAGTAGGAGTAGGAGTAGGAGTAGGTAGGAGTAGGAGTACTAGTAGTAGCAGTAGTAGAAGTAGGTGGCGGTGGTGGTCCTAGTAGTAGTAGTAGTAGTAGTAGCAATGCACGGTCGTTCTTATATCTCGTCTCAACTATAGTAACATGATGTAACATTGTCCTTTTTGTGGAACAAGAGGTGGTGGGGTGTATGCGTGTTGGAAAGAGTCGTGAGAAGCAATGCAAGGACAAAAAAAACGTGTTTCAAGTGATGTCACTTTAAGAACATACACAAAATCCAGGGCTTCTTGCAACGTCTCAAACAAGGCAACATCTCTGGAATGCTAATTTGATCTCTAACATCCTGTCAGAAACAGCCACCCATTGACATGCACTTGGTGTGTCCAACATTCCTGTTTTGCATTATTCGACCACTCCCCATGCGATTCAATCATGTCGTGTAAACTCCAAGAGGTCTTAACTGAAAGTGCTTTGAGGTCCGGGTGCTGGGGCAAAGATCCACCTTTTCAAGGGGACCTTTGACTCAGGTCGTTGGTTGGCCGTTGGTCGGTGGTGAGCAAGCCACGTTAGAGCATATGGCCCGCATCAGGCGGCCACACTATTTGATCGGTATAACTGCGAATCGCGGGGCTTGATGGCCTGCCTGGGTGACAAGTCCTGCTGCTGAGTCCTTGGGGCCTAGCAGTTGAGGCTTAGCATCCATAAAGAAATCAACTGAGTGGAGCTAGCGGGTGACCCGGGTCCACACGTCCCACGTCCTTCGCCCGAAGCGAAAAATGCTCCGCAAATCCAGCGACGCGGTGCCCGCAGCTCGGGCACGTGTAGAGGCGATGACCGCCTCAGCGGCGATCACCAGGAAGTCAGCCAAGGAGACCTGCAAGTCATGGAGATCAGCCAAGAGATGGAGAGAATCATGATCATTATATATAATTAGGAATTGATAGAGATGCAAGAGACCCATGCAAATCGAGGGACGGAGAGAGAATCATATGAGTGCAAAGCCATTTTCAGTGTCCTCATGAGAGAGAACAAAAGGACATGGTAATCAAATCGGAGTCTGTATATAGGTTCCAAAAAGGTGTTTACGGTGTTACATGGTAATCAAATGGATGTATATATATATATTCATACAGGTTCCAAAAGGGTGTTTACCCAGTGAGATCTTGAGACCTTAGGTAGTGGGTGCACCGGTGTGGCCCTACCTGAGTGCAGAACTGCTGATAGACCTCCTGCAGTGAGCTGCCGTGCTCGCCGGAGGCCAGGCACGCGGGCAAGCCCGCATTCTCTGGATCCTCCATGTCCGTGCAGGCATCCGAGCCACCCTGCCCGTTGGCGAAGTCCTCAGCAAACACAACTGCAGGTGAGGTGGGGGCAGTCTCAAAAACTCTTTTCTTATTCTGGGGCGCTCAGTTGCCAATGAGTCATAATTATACTCAAAATGTAGCAGTTTGTCTAGAGACAGCCTAATTTGAGTAGACGTGAGGACCAGGACCATGCACATCTGAGCAAGTATCAAAATCCCTCATAACGACCAGTAGGTAGGTACCAAGTATAGCGCGAAAAGGACATAACAAACTATAACATAGTCTTATTCCTATCAGCCCCCCAAAAAGAACAAACAAACACTTCCTGACACCACGACCTCAGGCTCCATAAAGTCATGTCCTGCCATCCGTAGCACACAACCTGCCCAGTCCGCCTGGGGACAATCTGAAGCTGTGCAAGTGCTTGGGAGCGATTCCAACTTCCCCCGCACGGCTGCCACGACGGCATCATACTGTGATGAAGTCATACATTCAGTGACTTCAACGGCACCTGGGCATGCCAACAGCTTTGCAGGAGTGGCATTAAATGCCTGGCCATTGACGATTGCCTCACATCTCATTGCGAAGGCGAGGAGACTCAACAACACTGCTCCATTCGCCATCTTGTGCCCCTGTTTGGACTCCTGTCACTACAGCTTTATGGAACCAAAATGGTCTCAAGAAGATTGTCTTCAAAAAGCCTGAAGGCTTCAACTTCAAAAACAAAGAGTCCCATATGGTGCAACAAAGAACCTATAGTTTAGCTTGAGATTGTGAAGAATTATTAAGAACTCTTCAAGCAAACAAGGATTGACAAGCAACTCGTTGGACGCTTTGTGACCGACGCATCACCGCTGGACCGAGGAGAGTTACTGACAGGCCAACTGTAACTTCCAAAGCCCTGAGTTTTGGAAGATCTGAAGCCACTGTGACTTCTCACCGTGGCATGACGGACCAAGGACCCACCAGTTGAGTCACCTTTCATATCTTTCGTCATCTTTCGTCTGCTACCTGGCAAATGATCGAAACAGCCCATGTCGCACAAATCTCACCTTGAAACTCTTCCAACCGCACGACCGGGCATCGGCTCCGACACGCGATGGCGACCGGACATTCCAGGCCTACGAGCTCCTCTTCTTCGCTCTGGGGCCGCGAGGGGCTCGGGCGCTGCTTCGGGCTGTAGAGCCCCACCGCCTGGGAGGGAGGTGATCTTTGGGAGCCGCGGGATCCGGATTTAGAAGGGAAGGAAAGGGTCTATAATTCTATACGAGTTTGGGAGCTTTCTCCCCGGACCTGATCTACTTGGGCTTGAGGCTCTGCCGAGGCGGATTTCGCACAAAGAATCCTTCAGCTGCCAAGCTTTCGGGTATACGGTATACTACTTCATTTAAAACGACCACGTTCACTGGTAGATTGAGGTGGCTCTGTCCGTTGAAACATGTTGAAGCTCAAAAGGGTTCTCGCAAAGCCTGAAACGCCAAAGGTAAAGCTGCCTGCACAAGATTCAGGCTATCTTTTACATAACCCAAATTAATGGCACCTGTTGAAGTCCAACATGTGACATTGAGCACCCACCAAGTTCCCACATTCCCCACATGTTCGCCTCTGGCCAGCAGGTGTGAATGCCTCCGGTCAGCGGATTATGTGGCTTATTCCGAAATAGAATGTGTATATATTAGATTCGATATATGTTTAATGCACAACTACAAGATTTCATGGGGAACCCGCAAAACCAATTGTTAGCCATAGTCTTTTGTGTGTGTGTATTGGTTGCGTGTTTGTTCTTTCTTTCTTTCGTTTTTGTTTTTATTCCTTTCCTTCCTTCCTTCCTTTCTTTGTTGCTTTCTTTCTTTCTTGTCGTTTTCCTTTTAAACATCTGTCTCTCTCTCAGCTATCCTTTTATCGTAGACTATTCCTTGATTCTAGGGGAATGCAGTATCCACAGGCACCCCTCGTTTGCACACACTTTCTGCCCATATGCTTCTTGTGGGCAGGTCTGCTTTTAGTCGCTCAATGCGGGAGCTACATCACCATACGATACCTGATTGACCAAGGAGTAGGCCAGCGGAGTTCGTTCCAAGCAATCCACCACACCCAGGAAAAAGCAAAGGAGTCCCCCAAATAGTCCAAATGCCTGTCACCCAAATACCTGTGCACCTCGTTTTTGGGGGACCGACCGGTCACCATCGGTCACCATCGGTCACCTGGGTCCCGCACGACCCGGCTCGGCCACACCTGGCGTTGTAGAGGAAAATCGTCTTCCAAACGTCCATGATCAGGTTCCATCTTAATCTTCCTTTGACTCTTCGTTTCTGGTCCTCTCTATATCTCTATCACACTCTCTCTCGCTCCAGGGATGTTGTTGCGGCGTAAATCTACAGCAATCTGATACTAGAGAGAGAGAGAGAGAGACAAGCAAAAGCCTGCACTGCCAGCCGCCAGTCCTATATAGCGGTTAATTGAATTAAGTAAACATATTAAGTAATATTTCCGATATCGTCCGCCTGACACTGAGACCAAACGACCATGGGTCCGGCCATGCAGCCTCCAAGGACTGCGCAACGCAAGGGAGGCTCCTCTGGCACGCCCATGGGTTGAGAGCATCCAGCCTGGAGAGGTCCACATTTGGAATTGACCTCCCTGCTTGTCTCTGTTCTGTTCATTTTCCGTAATTCACCTATAGGACCCCCGGTTTTAGGGCCCACAGCTGAGCTGATCTTTGGAGAATCCCCACCCAGCTCCGAAGCTGCAACTACGAAGTGTAGCTGATGTCAAAGCCATGCCAAAACCATCAAAACCCCCATGTGAGTCCGATGAAGGACCCACACACGGACCGCCTCTCCAGCTGCCTCGCCATCTTTGGCCCGGATCCTGGTTTCGGCATGTTTCGGCAACTTGCCGGAGAGACGTGCTTTGCACAGACAGGCGGTTTGTTAAGAGTCCCGACATGGGTTCCGCGGGAATGGAGAACAATCCGGAACTTTTCGCGCCATACACTATAGGTGCTCCAATACAATCAATATGGTTGGTGACTGGCGCACTCGGGAATCAACAGCTACAAGTCGCCTCTCCATGTCATGCTGATGCAAAGCCCTCATGAGATCTGGTGTTTCTCCTGGCCAAAACGCGCAGCTGCCATGGCCACGTCTCCTGCAAGGGCGGGTGCGCAAAAAATGTTAACAGTCAACCAAGGTCGCAGCACACCGCCTGCTTGTTTGGGCAACGCGTATGCGTTTTCATCTGGATACATTTTCAGGAACCCTGGTGCATCATGAATGAACAGTTCTAGGTCCTGGGTGAAATTCCGAGAATGATCATTCCACTTTGGCCCGGACACCACTCAGCACCACCAACAACCTGCGAAGACTGTCCGAGCAGCCCCCGTACGCCTGTGGAGCAGCATTCTGCAGCACGCAGAACAGCTCCTGCCGCGACTCGGCACCTGAAAGGCTGAGAGAAGCAAGCACCTCAGAAGGGCACAGCGCTGCTGAGGCGTTGTTCCTAGTCCTAGTCGCGAGCATCTCGCAGCTGCGGCTAGAACTAGTGTCCTGTGACACCGCCCAAGTTCAGCCAATGCCAGGAGCCAGGAAAAGAATTATTAATTTATACCGTGAACCCGTGTTTGGTCGCAACTTTCCTCCAGTTCGGTCTTTGACTTCATAGCTTCTGGTCATAACCTGTCGGAGGGAGCTGGTGGATTCTCAATTTGTTCAAACAAGATCTCGACGTTTGGCTCCCGAGCCACCTGACCAAAAGGCAAACAAGTGGCTGGACCCTGCCAAATGGTGAAACCTGCCTGCTACATGTGAAACATATAGGAATGAAGAAGGTCAGGGAAAATATCGAATGATATAGAATTCACCACAGGGTCCCTGTCATTCTGTGATCGGCTTTCACTGATCACCTCAGTCTGTTCTTCTTGTCCCTGTCATGCGCTGCATCCGAGGCGCATAGCCACCCAGCGTGGTCTTCGAGCGGCCGATCTCCCGGCGCAGCACCTGAGGTTGGCCCCGAGGGCGGCCCTGGAGTGAGGTGTCGAACGGGGAAAACCCACCGTGTGGAGCGATCGGACGGCTACGAGGGCACTAGGGGCTCCTGACCTTACTACGACCGGAACAGGACGCGACTCCAACGGAGCCTTTCGGGCATCGCGACTCGAATGGAGCCACCGCGCTAGTTACCCCAAAGCATACCGGGACCCATCCTGTCTGGGTGTCCTGGCTGGCCTACCCTACACTACTTAGGGATCTCCAGGCAGGACAACCATTGGATGGTATGTGTCCTTTTTTGTTGGCGGGGCCGGGGGTTGCTAAGTACTTCGAGGGCAGTACTTGCCTACTTATGCTGTTTTCAAATCAAATCAAGTGCATTGTTTGAAGGGATTGGACATTGATCCCTTAAAACATGAGGCTTGAAGCAGTGGGAGCATTGCTGGGTGTGTAGGCCAGGTACATGCCCAAGTGGAGGTGGCAAATGCGCACAATTACAATGTAAACTTAAATGCACCAACCACAACAAACGCGTAACGATTGTTGATCTCTCTATGCTATGGTCACCCGAGCTATCTTTCAGCGGCAATGCAATCGACATCATTCGAGCGCTTGAAAACGATCAGTGTCAAACAAAAGAGATTAAAGCGATCAACCAAAAAGATACAAAAAGCAACGGCCAGCAGGGTTTTCTTCCCAACCCGGTTGCAGCCTCAACTGCAGGCAAACCCCCCAGTTGCCGTTGATCATCCATCCAAACGAAAAGAGGCAACTTAAGACAAATGAGTGACTGGCACGTGGCTTGTTTCCACAGCCCGCCTCTTCTTCCCATTTCCTCCACCCAACGGCTCCCGTGACGTGGCGGCACCCCCTCTGCCAAGCGCTGGGGAGCGGAGGGCCTCCGCTCGGGTTCTTCCTGTGGGTGCGGGGACGGGAGTGGAACAAAGCTAGCCTTCCCCACAGCAAACATAGCCGTCATGTGGTGGAATGTAGACAATCGTCTTCCAAACTCTTCTGTGCATAGTATAGCTGAACTAGCTGATTTAGAGGGCAGCGATGTACGATTCTGGTCAGAATAATATTGCCAGGACCGCACTTGTGAAGCACAAAGCCGCAACTGCCAAATGCTTCACTGACAATGCTTGGCAGATTGCTGGCACAAACTGAGCGTGCTCAGAATAGCAAAGCCAGGTGAAGGTCTTGAATGTGTTTCTCCCTCTAAGACTCCAAGGCAAGATGTCGCGTTTCGGTCTTTCAGGGTCGCCACGCGAAAACGGCCCCGCGCCACATCTCGGGCCGCCTGGCGAACGAAGACGGTCAAGGCCACTTTGGGACGCGGAGCGTCCTGCGCCGTTCCGCGAGCGGAAATTGGACTTGGAGATGAACGGACAGTGTCGTTGGAACTTGAGAGATTGGGAGTGAGAGGACAACTGGCCTTGAAAGACTGAGGGATACTTGGGAGACTGGTGATTGGTTCGTTGCGGTGGAGCGAATGGAGCGAATCGACCTGTTGGCTCCAACCATCTCTATTTCATGACGGGAATCGCTTGCCGGAGCGCTGCCTGAGCGCTGCCTCGAAATCTGGATTGTTGGCTCACAAGACATCGTCCACTAGTTAGCTATGAATTGACTCTTACCAGTAGCTGTGTTCTTTCATGATGCGAGCGGGTTCCCAACAAATAAGCCAGTCACTATAGGGTCTGTGAAGTCATCTGCCTTGTCCTTCAGGCTCCCAGCTGGGATGCCTGAGTGGAACAGCGCTCGGGTGGCCAAATCGGGGCACTTCATTGAATCAAAACCATCGTAATCAACTTGGGAGCCTTTGGTGATCACACACACACTATATATATATACACACATATATGCAGCAAACATGTTACTTTGCTCTTCTTCTGTTCACTTTCTTCGTCTTGGGATTCGGCTTAGTCTTAGCGATGATCCTACCCCCTTCTTCAATGATCAACTAGTAGCAAGTCTCGTGATTGGGTGTGGTCCGGACTGAAGTGGACCAGCTTAAACCATCGCTAAGCTCCATCTGATTTCGGGATCTTGACATACTGGAATACTTGAGCTTGGAACATACCTCAAGCTCTGATCTCCAACCAAAAAAGTGTTTCCGCGAAGAAACCCAAGGCCTCTGCTCCTGTGTCGAAGCTGAATCTCCCTTCTGAAACCATTTACTTGCAGAAAAGGCACATCCAACCCGACAAGAAACTTCACTGATTGTCAGGGCTTGATTCATACCCCCTCTCCAAGCGGCTCAGAAGGTCGGGGAATCAAATATTGTGGAACCACCCCCGCTTCATCTGCGAGGCGGGTTGCACCAAATTATGGAATTCGGGGGTTATGAACAAGGGATTGTGTGGGACGTCCTTTGGTAGCTCTTGTGCGCTTGAAGCATCCAGTTTCGGAGAAGTTTGTACAACAATGAATCTTGGAACAACCCCATTCTAGAGAAGATTGTACCCACCCACTCCGCTGAGCACAATCATTTAAAGATTGCCTCTAGAATAAAGCGACGCGCTGGTCTTAAGGGTCACCAGGTGACATGTGATATGCACATGAATGGAGAAAGTCGTCGTGAATGTCCACTTTTGATGTGAAAATTCAACTATAAAGAGCCATGCAACGGATTTTCTGGAATTCTGCGGGTGGTTGGAATTCTGGATGGTTTTGCCGATCTGGGGCAGAAGCCAGACTGCAAAAAGGCATGAGAATAGGATGAGGGATTGGTGAAATCCAACAGTACAAGAGGCGAAGACATGGGAAACCAAATCAGGATACAAACGGGTCAAATTATTTGGAAGCGTTCTGGGTACCAAATTTTGGAAAACTTGGCCAAACGGCGTTTGTTTGGCGGTTAGTATTGCAGGGAAAAAGTTAGGCAACATAATTTCATCTTACCCTTTCACATGTGTTTATTTGTCTCTATTTATTCCATCGTTTTCAATTCTGGGCCAGTGGCCCTGTTTGTCTCCTTGTGTGTTTGACGACCTTTGCTGGTTACGTCCTGTGGTCCATCCTCGCGTCAAATCCACGGTTCCCCACAGCTTTCGCAAAGCCGCAAAGGTAGATGTCGAGTTGAAGCTCTTCTCCACGGGAAGGTCCACGAAGCACCTCCAAAACCACCTGGATGCAGCAAAACCACCTGGATGTTTGTTCTGGGATTCCACAGTTGGCTGTTTGAGTCACTCCCGGGATTTGGCAACCTGTGCAGGCTAAGGCAGGCGGAGTGCTGGTTAACGTGAACGAAATGGACCACTACTACAAGAAAAGCCTCCACTGAACCCACATGAGGAAAAGCGAACTTCTGACAGCTAACGCCTGTGGCCAATCAATATTCTTAAAAGTCTGTCATACAGCAACTCGGCAAACTTGATTGGCAGGTGAATGTGCAACGTGCGTGTTTAAGTGGTTGTTTTATCTGCTTATCCTCTGAGTTTTTCTCTCCAAGGAAGCGCAAAGCCCTCAAGAACAACTTCATGTTCTCATGCAACTTGTTCTTATGGCATGGGAGGTTGTGGGGGAGCCACTCCCCTCAAAAGTGCCCAGAAACACTCGAATTAGAGATCACCAGCCAATGCTGGACGTAAAACAGGTTTACGCTTTTTGGGATAGTTAGATATTATAGTTAGCCTGGCCTTAGGAGGATATATGAGCGAACAGATAGGTTTATGATGCAAGCCAGTTGGCATTATAGTTTACATAGTTTTCAAGCCCCCAAGCATGCTGCCCTTTTTCTCCGCACGTCATCCCAATGGACCGGCTTCAAGCTGCCAAGGTTTCGTACGCCATGGTGCGGTGGCTGGAGTCTGTAGACACACTAAGCTGGCTACTGCTGGATATCCTTCATCTACTCATGTCAAAAGCTTCTTGGCCTTCTATGACTCGTCAAGTTGTGCACTGCTAGCTCGATGGAGATCTCCACTACGAAGCCACCTGTCCAATTCATGGCCCAGGCAAGCCTCCAATCTTCTCCTCAGTCCGTGCAAAGGCTAAATACTAATAACGTAACATGAGAACTAAATTCAAACAGTTGATATTGTTTGCACTACAAGGGTTCGAGCAAGAACCCTTGAAAAATCCATCCCCTTCTGAGAGTCTCCATGGGGCCGGGGGTCCATCTAGCCCAATGGGTTGCCTAGACTTAGACGTCTGATTTTCTTTTGTCTCATCGATGTTGGAGTTTGCTCCAGCCCCAGCTAGGGTTGCTATGCGTTACACCCTCCACACCTCCATCAAACCCACGTTCTCTGCCCCGACACAGCGCATTGCGCTCGCGCTCCTTTCGCGACTCCGTCTCAGCAGTAGAGCTCCGAGCCCCGCGGCCCCTCGCCGCGCCACAGCCGACGCGCCAGAGAGCAGCGCACGTCCACATCCGCGTCCGCGAGCGCGCGGAGATCCCACGAGGCAAAGGCTTGGTGGCCGTAGAGGTGTCGCGAGGGCGCCTCTACGCGCAGTCAAAGGACCCATAGACCAGGTGGGAAAGGAGTGAAGCAGAATCAAAAACAGGAGAGAGTGACCAAAGGGGGTGATACATGTCCCATAGATATACATGGTTCCGTCATTGTACATATAATGGAGACACCACAAGAACCATATTGGGTAGTCTACTAGGGGTATTCGGTGAGTGCCCCAGTAGTTCGATACAAAAAAGCTAAGTATAAGCTCAACATCCACTTTTGCCCTTCTCGGCTTCATGCGCGCAGGCGTTGACTACAATGGCTGGTCTCGGTGTCGGGGGGTGGTTGGAGGACGGCGCCGATTCTGCGCAAAATGGAATTTATGGGGTGTCCCATCCCTGGTCATGGACATGTCAAGACCACTTTTGTTCTCGTTTGGCCACGTCCCACATTCGGGTCACAAACGCAGACTTTCTGACTGACTGTTCCCAACACATTTTGGGACATGCCACTCTTCAGTAGTCTCCCAAAAATATCCAAAGCATCAAGACTCAAGCTCAAACAACTGGCTAAACATGTTTAAACTGATGCCCGGGCACCACGCAGAAGGAGTCCAGCCAGGCTGTAAAGATCTGGCTGGGCTCCGGCGCGATCAAGGCGACGTCCAGCAGCGCGGCCACGTCGCGACGTAGAAAAGTGAGATCCATCCAAGTGACCTGAGATGGACACGTTGCGAGAACCGGTGGGGTGGGGGTCCTTGGACGAGCGAGATCCAATCCGTTGGAGATTGCAATCCTTGGAAGACGAAAGAGAAGAAGATCCGTTGAACATCAATCACCATAATTTCAGAGTGCATTGGAGGGAAGATGGGTTTCAGCTGGTTTAGCAGAATTCTCCTCGTAACCAGGGCGATTATGGGCGATTCATTTGTTCACAAATGTGACTGCGGAATTTGCAGAACAGTGCCAAACACTGATCAAGCGGCAGTTGGACCCATGAGCAACCGAAAAGCGCAAGGGGGAGCGTCGGCTCAAGAAGCAATGACACTCTGACGAACACATCACATGGAAGTGGATGGCATGGTCCCTTGAAAGACTACTACGTTCACCTAATTTCCTTTACAGTACATTAAAAGAGCTTTTTCGCTCCACTTCCATGTGAATGAGTCGAAGTGTAGCTCCACTTCGTACGGACGATGGACGATGGACATCCTCTTGCCTGAAAGAGCTCCAGTTGGTGCACTTGCGCCAGGTCCTGGCGTTCCATGATGTGTCATGCAATGGCCATGGTCAGAACAACAAACGACCTGGACCATTCCCGGGTAGGCGACGCCACGATCCTAGTGACCATGCCATCTACTTCCATGCTGTACCACTGGGGAATTGGTGTCATGTAGCTGTGTCTGAATTTACGTGGAGGTTTGTGCACCACTGGTCCAGAAAACTTTAGAACCACTACCCCTCGAAAACACTCAAACCCGCATGCTGCGTGTTTTCATTTCCTGATGCGATGGTCTCCACACATCTGCGCATTTCGGGCTTCAATCCCCGGTTCCAGGCCCAAACTCTATCAGAAGTCCTGCCAGGATTGCAGTGAGCAGCCGGCCCAATGCGCCATCTGCCGACCTTCACGCCAAGAGGTACCCATGAGTCCAGCTTTCTTGAAGGCGAAGTACTCGCGATAGCGGACCGGCGGGGGCAGCAGCCGGTTGTACTCAACCTGCGAAGAATGAATGGGATCATCTGGCTGCAATTCTCTTCAACCGATGAACAAAATATGTGTCCTATGTGCAAGTAACATTAAGTAACTATACTGTACATTAAGTAATCGTAATATATAACTATATATATATATCATAGCTATATACAGAAACCCACTCCTGCAAATGAAACTCTTCCCCCAGGACCTACCATCCATCAACTAGTAAGGGACTCTCTTCAACAACAGTGGGCTTCGCAGGGGACAGCAAGTGTCAAGCATCTGTAGGTTCCCGTGCCATCAATGAAAGAACTGAATCGCTGCAAAAGACCAGGCGAACTGAATGTTGGGTTCCGTACCCATACTCATGCGGCGCCGCAGGCGCGCGCCCCCGTTGTTTCTTCGATCGATCGATCGATTGATTCAAACAAGAACATGCCGCGCCACATGCCATACCTGCAATCAGCCTAGAGTCTACCGGTCTACTGGGCCTTCTCTTCTAAGAATTCGCAGCCCAAACCCTTGAAACGGGAGTTGCTGGGTGAAACCGAACCCCCTGCGCTTGGGGCACGTGTAGGATCGCGGGAGGTGGTAGATCTTCCAGCAAGCGCCGCCCGAAGTCGCAATCCGCGTGATCCAAATCGATCTTCAGCAGGTCGACCTCCTGGATACGCCAACAACACGCCACGAAGCGCCGAGTCTCGGCTGTGGGTCAGGGAGACTTGAACTTACATGAAACCTCGAACGCAATATAGTGAAGAGGACGCTTTTGTGGCAAAACCCTCACACTTTAGGAGTTTTGGGATGTTTTGACTTGGACGTGGAGATCCGTAGTTTTGCCCCACGCATCTTCGGGTCTTTCATCTGTGTTGGAGTCTGTCATGTTGGATCCGCTTGCGCGGAGAAGTGCCATCAAAGCAAATGCGACCAGCAGCACCAGCAGCACCTACCCAAAAACATGATGATCACCCTTTAAATGCATCCAACCATACTTGTGCCTCAGGTCAGTCACACGAATCCAAAAAACACACCTGACCTTCTGATCCTCTTATGATCCCACAGCTTGTCAGGTGGAGGGAACCCACGCCATGGCCCACGCTTCCTGAATCTCTCGCTTCCTCAAGCTCATTCGCACCAGCTCACTGGCTTCTTCTGGCGACACATATCCTTGGGAGTCGAAATGCCAAAGAAAGGAGGACACGGAAGAGAACTGCAGATGTATTACCCAAACACTCCATGTCTGTCATATATATATATGCCTACGTTGACCCCTTAAAACCAGCCCGGTGTAGGTATAAATGCATTATATATATTTATATATAATGCTTTCGTCAGACAGGGCCAGAGAAAAGCCGAACGGACTGGGCAAACCACTGATGCCGGACCGCTGGGATGTCACCAGTTCCGAAGCAGGAGTTTGAGAAGTTGATGACCTTTCTAGTGGATTGAGAGAAGGTGGCACAAGATACCCCAAAATTTGGTGGCGTACCCCATCTGAAAGACACCTAGCTACTTGGGGTGCCAACGCCATCTATCAATCGGGTGCTTATGGCGCTTGATAATTAGCCGCATTGCTTGTTGAGGTGCACATTTGGCTCTAAAAGACTAAAGCCAAACTAAGATTACTAAACAAAACAAGAATAAGCTAAGATTTCCTAATTGCAACTAAACAAAGCTACAGTAAGAAAAGCAAGGTGAAGCTAAACGGAGGTCTTTTAATTCAGGTGTTGTTGGAAATGTTGTCTAAGGCAATGATGCTACCCAAAGAAACACCAACAACATGCTTTTTGTGTTGCACCTTTAATTCATGAATGTTGAACACTCCTTTTTCATGGGTGTGATGATGCCACCCATCCAATATATATATATATACATCGATCAATGGTGAGAAGTTGTGAGATGAAATGCACCAGACCGGCCTTGGTTCCACTCATGATTGTTAGACCTACTATGGGATACTATGGGTGTATACACAAGAACCTACCTGAAACCACAGTAATTGCTGAGTCTCCCACATGGACCTCCACGTCCTTCCAGCGGCTATGCAAGGCCTGCGCCAGCTCCAAGCCTTCAATCGCCACGCCCCGGCCGCCCCGATCAAAGAGGCAGTTGGCCCCATCCATCTCCACAGCATCCCCGCAGCTGCCATCGTGCGCGCCCAGGTTCACCGAGACCATGTCTGACATGATCCGATTCTGAGCTGTGGCGAGTGCTTCCACAAGCTCCAAAATGGAAAGACTCACCGAAGAGACGGTGTGATTCCCATAGGTCCCCTGCAAAAACAAGAGGGGACGACTCCTTTTCGTGACGTGCGGTTGGCTTCGGTTTTGGCACACGGGCGCTACATCTGCAGGATAAACGGCTTGTGTGGATGCTTGTGCAACATCCGCGGACTGCAGCTTGTGCACCAATCGACCCATAACAGCCATGAGTTCATTCCCATCTCGACAGGGACTTTCACTGGAGAATGCCACGGGGGCACGGCTCAGCAGCCGATCGCAGGTCTCGTTCCAAGCCAACTGGAAGTCATCGACGGTGGAAAAGGCACATCGATGACGCGAGATGCAAAGCATCAAGTTGAGGCTTTCCTTGCCGAGTGCCCAGGATGCCCCCATTGTGTGTTGACTAGACTTTCCTTGTCATGGAAAAGTGGGTAGTTATAGTAATGGAAGAAGAAATGCAATACCATCCAGGACTCTGAATCGTGCTCGCACTCGTGCCATCTGTCTTTTATATTCTTTTGTTATGCCCATTCTTCTACGGATGACGGCCAACCAAATCAAAGAGTTTCCAGGATTACACTGATTACACTTGGACACTCGCGATGTCCCTAAGGTGAGCGGATGGGCACCGCACACGCGGCGTGGACAACCAAAAGTGACCTCTTCTTGGCAGTTACATGAAGAAAATGGGGTTCACTGGCTTTTCAATGAAAATCACCAAGAAGATCCAACAGCCCGATGTGGACCACGATGTCCCTGTCCAAGTTGCAGATGAATTCATGTTCTTCGTGGGCGCCAACACTGGCAAAAACCGATGGCATTGCTACCACACCGAAACAAACGATCCATGGCTGCGGAAGAGCACTTTGAGTCAAAGTCCACGACATTGTCTCATTGATTGGTCATCAAGAGGAAACTGAAGTAAACAGCAAATGTACGGTATAATTACGATAAGCAAGTGATTGATAGTGATTGACTGAAGTCGACCGCTTGGGGGAACACTGAAAAGAGTATGCTGATTGATGTCTTTCCTGCCCTTCCTTTCGCCCGGTAGGTCGTCTTTCTGGGAGGCTGAATGTGTGTCGACTCATCTGTCCATCTCACCGGTCGAGAGCGCGCGTGACATCGCGTGACCTGTGAGCGTCCGTGAAGCTGAGCAAGTCCTGCGCTTCACGCATGGTCAAACGGCCAGCGGAGGCGGCCTCCGCCGCGGCCCATTCCAGCTCCTCGATGTGGCCATAGAAGCTGAGCATCATTCCCTCCTGACGTGATCAGGAGCTGCGCCAGGGGACAGCTCGTTTCCGTGCTCGTTTTCGTGGGCTGAAATGGTGAAAAAGGTGCTGGCCTAGGGTGAACAAAAGGTGCACTTGTGTTGGACTGTCCAGAGTGAATGTTGGACTGGGATGGACTGGGCCCCTGGTAGTGCTCCGTGTCATCTACACCCCAAGCTGAAGGGGGATCTGGAAACCCTATGGAACCCTGGCTTGTTGACCTCCTCCCAGTCAGGTCATACAAAGGCGAGCACGTTCAGCCCCTATGTCCAAATGAGAATGCTCAAGGCAGTACTGAATACTGACCATCTTCCATCGGTAGGGCAGGAGACAGTTGTGCTTGTAGCAACACCCCTCTCCTTGAGAGCAGCTGCAGCCTGGCATTCTTCAGTTAAAAATCCCAAGAGCTCGACAGGAGGGCAGTAGGGCAAAAAACTTGGACTGGCCAGGCAGGTCCCAACCATACACCGCATCAGCCAGGGTCGCACCGCCATGGAATATCACTGGTCATCGCACCGCCAGTCTCGGCTAGCTACATCCCTCGGCTGAAAGGGCAATGTTTGGGCCAAACGCCTAGAGCATCGATGGCAGAGCCCCCGCCGCTACGTTGTTGCTAATTCACAGGTGAGAAGATAATGGGAAAATAATGGTAACCCCCGTGCGGCCCGTGCGCTCTCTCTCTCTCTCTCGTGCTCAGAATCAACAGGCCGGAATTGGAGGCCAACAAACGCTGCATCAATCAGTCACTGCAGTGCATTCCAGGTTGGCCATTCTCGCTTTCACATGAAACACCTCAACACCCGATTCCAAACGAGGGCTCTATGGCTCTCTCTTGGAGGAGCTTCTGAAGGGATTTTCACCGGTCCGCAGGTTCCCCGCGGGTTCCACTGGCCTGCGGGTTGCGGAGACTTCCGAAACCACTGGCAAAGCCTGGTGAGGCAGCGCTGAAAGAAAACCTGTGGAAGCTGCGGCCTGATGAACCTCCAAGGGCCATACCCTCTGCGATCCAGGAAAGACATGTTTTTACTGGGTTTTCTGGGAGTTGGAGAAACTCAGAACTCCGAACTGATTGCACTTCATGGATCCTTCCATTTTGAACTGGATCTCTCCAGCGAACAGCTCCTCAAGCTAGATTGCCCACAACCCCTCAGCTCCATTTGGCTCCTGATGTCCATTGCCCAGCACAAAGAGCCGAGGATTGCCAAAAGTTGCACAGCTCTCCTGAGATCAGAAGGCTCTCTATCCGGAGTGTGCCCATCTGTGCAGCTCTGCAAATGGCTCACATAGCAAACCCTTAAGGACGAAGTGGGACGAAGTTGGACGACGCGATGTCTGGGCATCCTTTGGAGGACGAAAGCCTTCGGTCCTCCAGTCTTGAGATGTCTGGGAAGCTTTGGCCATCATGAGTGTTTGTCTATACAATCTGACTGTTCAGGAATGCTGACCGAAATGGACAAACATATATATATATATATATGTTACTCAAATATATATATATATATATATATAAATGTTACTCAAAAATATGTATATATATATATACACGATCAAACACCCGCTGTAACAAATCTTAATGCTATATAGCTACACATGAGGATTGTCCCAACAAGTACCTTGTTCTCCCAAAAAACATGAGATGTTCGGCGAGTACCCGCCTAGGGTTGCTGAGCTTCTCGATCCCTTGTTGAACTTGCGCAACTATTGTGCCACTATAATAGGTTAGTTATTTTGTAAACACCTAAGATGCCCATTCTAAGACGTTCTTTTGCAGGTGAGGCCTCCAACAGCTCCACTGTGGCCCATGTTCCTTCCTCCAAACAACTCCCAAGCGACTTGGCATGTCGCAGCATCCCGGCTGCATCACTCCTCCGGGTGACCTGGAGGAAGAAACATGCACAGGTTTGAATCAAACAACGACCTCGCTGACTTGCATCAATATCGACATGTACATATACATCTCACATCATCTCATGACCTAAGATGTTATAGGCACCATAAGCTTCAATTCTCGACGCCCTCTTCACAAATCCTTGGAGGATATCTAGCACTCCACCCGGGTTCTGCCCTGGTGGGCCTTGGGCAAAATATCTCCAGCTTGCTCGAGGAATAGACCAACAGCTGGGGTGTGGCCTTCGCTGTCTGGAGTGGCTCCTGTCCCGTTGGCACCGCTGGCGGTCCAACTGTGGCGTGCGAAGAAGTGGGGAGGGAGGCGGAGCACTGGCGGAATAGCATCACTCAGTATGGCACTCGGGCTTGCGCCTCTCTGAAAACCGGAGAAAGCGAGGAAAACGTGCCGAATGCTGGGATGACATACACTCTGACATTGGTTTTCTGTTAACTCAGTTCCCAAGATGAGAAGGAAAGTGAGAGAACGGCACGGTGGAGAGTCCGAAAACTTGTAGATGTTTTAACAAAAGAGTTTCGCACTTTGGAGGCGCTCAGCAACGGTGGAAAAGCAGCGGAGGGGAAACCTGTTTGTGGGAAAGTGTCGTGAAAGAGCCATGAAACAAACCGTGGAAAAGTAGGGTGACAGCT